TTTTTTTTTTTTTTATTATTTCCCTGATTTCTTTAATCCCTGAAAGAAGAATGGAATTGACCACTTTCTGAAACATAACCAAACCTATCATTTGTGCTATTTTTTTGTGTTCCACCAAAATGAAAGGGTTTTCTATTACTTGCACCAATACAATATTATGGATCCTCCAATATATTTTCCCATACAGACATCAGTAGTGATGGCTGCAGGAAATGACAAAACTAGCAGATCCCTTTTGTCAAGTTTTGTCAAACCATCTAAAGTGGGAAATGTTAAATCAGGTGTTTCATGTGCTTTTTGTGCCAAAATCACTTTCAATATACATTTTGCACTGTAATAATCACTATGCCTTAGACACATGGTGCATTAAGAGCAATCATCCCAAGGTCATTATAACTATGGAAAGTATATGCAATAATTTTCAAACTAAATGTTATAGTTGCTCAGCACTGTAAAGGAAGATTTGACTATCATTTATAAAGTTTACAGGTCATTCATGTTATAGATAGATAGATAGATAGATAAATAAATATAGCTTTTAGCCCAGGCAGGGGAATGTAATCTTCAGCATTTTAGAAGACTACATCTCCCATAATGCTGTCATAGCTATAATTCTGGCAAAACATCAGGGGGGCATGTGGTACACAGCAACTACCTTCTAGTCACCTGGAAATCAATGTGTAGAAAACAAAACACTTTATGCATTATGACACTTTTACCAATGGGAATAGACTTTAATTGGACATTATAAGTCAAGTGATTATTAATACCACTTACAAAATATATTTGAACTTGTTACTGTGAAGAAAAAGCATAACTGCACTATTTACCTGTGGTGACAGTGGTTGGGGTGGTTGTTCTAGGTGTAGATGCTGTGGTAGGAGTGCTTGCATCTGTAAGTGATAGCATAATTTGTGGATGTTATTCACTCTACAATAGCATTTATAACAACAAAGAGACGGTTGGTTGTAATTACATCAGTCAGTAGAATTATTCTAGTGAGTGAACATGTGAGAGAGCAATCTAAAACAATGCCTTTACTTACTGTGTGTACATCACAAGTTGGGGTGATGGAAGAATATACAAAGAAAGCGCAACCTACACGTTTAATTTGTGTTTTCTGTCTATAGTACCGTAATGCTTTAAACATAATTGTTTTAATGTATTGTTTTGTCACTTCATTTAAATATGCATTTTGTGATCTGCCGTTACATATAGCAAACAATATTAGCAAACAATAATATAGTTTAAAAAAGCTGTACAAAAAAGAAACTGAAATAAAAACATACTATAAAATATAGGAAACTCTTGTGAAATATATAGCAGCTTACTCCAAAAACCATGAAGTGACAACTTAAAAAGTACAAGAAATGTAGGGTTGTAAAATAAATATTAGATCTGACATAACAATCATTAGAATGCGCGTATCCATATCAAATAAAAATATATGTTTAATGTCCATCACCAATCTCTTTAGAATCCAAGCTCATTGATGACATAAGCTCCAAATGTAGATACCCTGAAACATAGGAGTGCTGCACCAGTATAAAAAAAGCACGTAGTGTAGTAAAAGCATGGATCACCAGTCACCAGCTTTTGCGATCTTGTGAGCCACATGTTTTCTATATTAGTTGGACTTTTAACAGTAAGCTTACTGGTTGGCACCCTGGTAACTGTATCTTTGGTACATAGTCAAACTTTAAGTGTTTTATTTCTAACATTCATATCTGCCTGGTTTAACTATTTGTGTGACTATTATAAGTTCTTAATAGAAAAGAGAGCAAGCTATCTACTCATTTAACATACCGCAGACAGTGCCCTTTCTCCAGTCTCCAAGGTTAACACCAGCACCCTCACATGCAGCAGCATAAGACTCTAAGGCATTGCAGAACTGTTCTAGGTCTCCTCCTGTGGCACACTGATCATAGACACAGCTCTCAAAGTATATCTGAGGGAGGATGTAAA